TAAGTGCTGGGAACTTAATCTTGTTGGGAGGAAAAATCCAAGTGTGGATGGGAATTGCTGGATGCTGACATCCTGTCCCTTCTGTCCTTCAAAGACCTCACCAGGCACGGGGATGTATGTGCTGTGGGGGGCACTGGGAAACAGACCCCAGACTCACCCTTGCCCTGCCCTTGCCTGGTGACTGGCCAGCACTTACTAGGACTGAGCGGTTTCTTGCGTTCGTTGTGATGAGGGCCACGATCGCCCTGGCACCAGGCAGCTGTTGCTTGGGTTAGGTTTGCAAGACATAAAAATAGCTTTGTCTGGAACCTGCTTTTCGGGTCAGCTGGGTCATTTCAGCGAAAGGCAGCAGCTTGTCACGACAAGGCCCACAGAGGTTCATTGGAAGGGCTTCTTTGGCCTTTCCTGCTGGTGGAATCCAACTGCATGATCAGTGCTCATTCTCAACCATGGCCCTTCTGTCTGGCACTGTTAGTTTACTCGTCGATCTGCAGCTGTGTCTTAAAGGTACACAGCCAGGTGTCTGCCTGCTTTGAGGATCATCTCTACATGCTCCTTGTGCCACCTGCTGCCTTATGGAGTTTACTTATCTCCACTGCAGTAGTGGGACAGTGGAAAAGGTACAAGAAGGGAAGGTTACTGATCTCTCTGAGCCACAGCTTACCAAACTGTAAAATGGAAGCCGAATAATGACAATAACAATAATAACGTCCATTGGGGTTTTTTTTTTTTTTTTGAGACAGGCCTCACTCTGTCACCCAGGCTGGAGTGCAGTGGTATGATCTCGGCTCACTGCAACCTCTGCCTCCTGGGTTCAGTGATTCTCCTGCCTCAGCCTCCCAAGTAGCTGAGTTTACAGACATGCACCACCACACTCAGCTAATTTTTGTAGTTTTAATAGAATGAGGTTTCACCATGTTGGCCAGGCTGGTGTAAAACTCCTCACCTCAGGTGATCCACCCCCCTCAGCCTCCCAAACTGCTGGGATTACAGGTGTGAGCCACCACACCTGGCCCTATTGAGGTGTTTTGAGGATTGGAGGCAGGTGGTGGTGACAGTCTTGGGAGCCTGAAGACACTCCACAAATGTGCTGGCTTGTGTGTGCGGTTGCTATATAGGTATGGATGTTATTCAGGGAGCAGCAGTGAGACAGGTGAGTGGGGCGAGAATTTGTATCCCCATTTTATAGATGAGGAAATTGAGGCTCAGAGACTTTCTTCGGTAGCTTTCTCAAACAGTTCCCCCGTCTCTGTGTGTTCACTTGGGAAAAAAGTTCTTGTGTGGGGTGACCTTTGGGTCCCACATCATTACACTGCAAAGAAAAGGGAAAGGCAGCTGGGCTCGGTGGCTCATGCCTGTAATCCCAGCACTTTGGGAAGCCAAGGCGGGCAGATTACGAGGTTAGGAGTTCAAGATCAGCCTGGCCAACATGGTGAAACCCTGTCTCTACTAAAAATACAAAAATTAGCCGGGTGTGGTGGCACATGCCTGTAGTCTCAGCTATTCAGGAGGCTGAGGCAGAAGAGTCACTTGTACCTGGGAGGCAGAGTTTACAGTGAGCTAAGATCACGCCACTGCACTCCAGCCTGGGCGACAGGGCAAGACTCCGTCTCAAAAAAAAAAAAAAAAAAAAAATGCTCTGAGGTTTTTCATGTAGGTAACCCTGCATCAATTGAAATAATCATGTGTGTTTTTCTTCGTTCTATTAATGTGGCATGTTACATTGACATTGAATCACCCTTGACAGAGTTTTCTCTTAGAAAAACATGATGATCTTGAAAGGAAAAAACCCTCTGACCCTGTGTACTACCTAGAAAACAGCCTTGGCAACATATCAGCAAATTCTGCTGCTGAAAGTGTGCAAGAAGTACTTGGATTATTTAGTTCTGAGAAATACAAAGAACTTTTCCACTTCCCTTAAAAACATTGTGTTGAAATTTAAAAAGAAAAAGCTTTATGGCTGGGCGCAGTGTCTCACGCCTGTAATCCCAGCACTTTGGGATGGTAAGGTGGGCAGATCACTTGAGGTCAAGAGTTTGACACCAGCCTGGCCAACATGGTGAAACCCCATCTCTACAAAAAATACAAAAATTAGCTGGGACAAAAATACAAAAATTAGTGGTGTGGGGACCTGTAATCCCAGCAGAGGCTGAGGCTCGAGAATCTCTTGAATCCAGGAGGCAAAGGTTGCAGTGAGCTGAGATCACACTACTGCACTCCAGCCTGGGTGACAGAGTGAGATTCTGACTAAAAAAAAAAAAAAAAAAAGTTTTTTTAGATACCAAATTGACCTGCTGAGCTTCGTGGTCCTGCTTTTGTAATGCTTCCAGTATATAATTGTGGCAAAATTGATTCAGAAATTTCAACACAGAGGTCCCATTAAAAATTTTTTTTGAAATAGAGTCTCACTCTGTTGTCCCGGCTGGAGTGCAGTGGTGTCATCTCCGGTCACTTCAACCTCTGCCTCCCATCCTCCTTTTTTTTTTTTGTTAGACAGAGTCTCACTCTGTTGCCCAGGATAGAGTGCAGTGGCATGATCTCGGCTCACTGCAACCTCTGCCTCCCAAGTTCAAGCGATTCTCCTGTCTCAGCCTGCCGAGTAGCTGGAACTACAGGCATCTACCACCATGCCCAGGTAATTTTTGTATTTCTAGTAGAGACAGTTTTCGCCATGTTGGCCAGGCTGGTCTCAAACTCTCAGCCTCAGGTGATCTGCTCGCCTCAGCCTTCCAAAGTGCTGGGATTACTGGCATGAGCCACTGCATTGGGCTCATTTTTAAAACAAGATTTCTTCAAACAACAATGATCTACTCATTACTAGGCCAGAGTTAGGGTGATAGAAAGATGTGTGGGTTAGAGATGGGAATACCCAAGTTCATTCTTTCAACACATACTTGTAAGCCCTCACTGCATACCAGGCAACGGTCTAGACCCTGGAACATACGACCCTCCCGAGGCTTGTTGGGCTTCTATGCTAGGTGTAAGCATGCTCCACGATGGGGGTGATGGCACCCTTCCTCCCTCCAGGGCCATGATGATGACTGACTATGATAATAATACTAGGATGATGATGACCATGATGATGATGATGACAGAAGCAACAATTCCCTTTCATTTATGAGGTGGAACACAGTTAAAAGTCTTTTAAAAAGAATAACAGCTTTGGCTGAGTACAGTGGGTCATGTCTGTAATCCCAGCGCTTTGGGAGGCCAAGGCAGGTGAATCACTTGGGGTCAGGAGTTCAAGACCAGCCTGGTCAACATGGTGAAACTCTGTCTCTACAAAAATTAGCCAGGCATGGTGGTGCATTCCTGTAGTCCAAGCTACTGAGGAGGCTGAGGCAGGAGTATTGCTTGAACTCGGGAGGTGGAGGTTGCAGCCAGCAGAGATTGCACCTCTGCACTCCAGCCTGGGCAACAAAGCAGGATCCATCTCAAAACAAAAAAACAAACCCAGTTTTATTGAGAGATAATTCACATGGCATATAATCCACTCATGTAAAAGA